AAATCAATAAAAAAAAAAAAAAAAAAAAAAAATATGCAAAGCATTATCATCGAGTAAATAAGAAAAAGAAGTATTTTTGTTTCAATCCATAAGTTATAACATTATAAGCTTTAAGACTTAAACTTTGAATTTGCTACTTACTCGTATTAAAGATTTTTTAGAAAATGTTTTAATATATAATTTAATACGATATTATTTTGAGAAACATGCTTAATTTGAAGATTCTCAATCTATGTACACCTCATTTGATATAAATAATAGCTATCAAATCTCATTTAGATATAATACCAATTCATTCATATATCTCATTTATATTTATAGGTTATATATCTATGATCTCCCCCCTTAACAATATCCATGCATTAGATATTTTTTTTCATGACCAAATTTGATTTATTAATAAAAAATAAAATAATTATGAATTATGAATGTGGAGGGAAATTGTGTCGTGAAGAATATGAAGGATGTATAATATTATTAAAATATTGTAGACTTATTATTTATAATATTCTTATAAACTCTCTACTAATCCAATAGATATACGAAATTAATATTGGCAACTAACCAACTGTTTTTCCACATTTTATCCCAAATAATTTGCTAAACTTTTGTAATATAATGATTAAATATGCCCACCTTAATTAAAATTTAAAATTATATATATATATAATTTTAATTTGAATTTGAATGCTAAGTTTCTATTCAAAAAATGAAAAAAAAAAAACTAAAAATAGTGGTTTGGTTTTGGTCTAAATCCTTCCATTGTATTATACAAAATATAATTTAGAAATTTTACTTCTAAATTTATCATTAATAATGTTATAAAAAGTTGATATTTATTTATTTATTTAAAAAAAATTAAAAATTAATAAATTTCTTCGGATGGAAAAACATTATAACTTAGAAAATTTAGATATTTGATAAGATAAAGAACCACTACAAGGGGAGTAAGATTCGGATTACCTTATTGATCGAATATCTCAAGGCAAGAACATTGTTTGAGATTCGAATCACTTCACAAGCAAGATCGATTATGTCTAGCTTGAATGATTCTTGTTGATCAAATATCTCAAGACAAGAACACTTGCTTGAGATTCGAATCACTCCACAAGAAAAATTGATCATGTCGAACTTGAATGATTCTACATGCAACCTAAACTACATAGAATTGCAAAGAAACTTAGCCAACATTGGCCGAACGAGAGCACAAATGCTTCTTTTACTATATTTTCCAAGTCTACTTACAAATACAATATACATGGCTTTATATAGCTTCAAAATGAAACTACTAAAGTCATTCCAAGAGTTGTTACATTCATACTTAATGGTCATAATTAACCATTATGTTATTGTAACCTAAAGTAAATAAAAACTCTTAAAATACATTAATGAAATACAATAACTCTAAATTGTAATCCACCCAAAATTTATCACATAGAAACTTCATTCTTCCTCAATGTGACATGAATTGAAATGATAATCCGAATCTTACTCCCCTTATAGTGATTCCTTATCTTATCATTTGATATTTAATTATAAAAATAATATGATTAAATTTATAAATTAATATAAGCATATTGAAATTTGATATTTAATTATAAAAATAGTAAGATTAAATTTGTAAATTAATCTTAAGTTTATGTAAAGTAAAACATTAATAAGTCTGTAGCTAAAAATTGTTACAATCAATTTAATACTAATGTTGGTAATGAAAGTCCTCAAAACTATACTAATGAACTAGTATATTAGATTACAGCATGTCAAATGTATGGAAATCAATCGAATTATATTTAGATAGTGTTTCTTCCAACATAATTATATTGTCTACGTTGGAGCAGTTTCAGGATGATAATAGAGCATCTCAGTCAATATCATTTCTCTAATCTCATGCTCATCAAGTGATTCGTCGATGTCGAGACTAAGGGGAATCTCATCAGTAGAATTGAATTCCATGTCGTATAGCTCAGACATGTATGGATGTTGAAGTGCTTCATTAATGGTAATTCTTTTCCTCGGGTCAAACACAAGCATCTTTTGTAGCAAGTCCAAAGCTAAAGGTTCAGCTTGTGGATATTGATCTGAAAATTGTACCCCTTTTGAGAAAGGCATAGCTTTGATAAATTTTATGGACTTTAGATTATCAATAAACTCGATATCTGCTTCCTTTGGATTGCCGAGAACTTCGATGATTAACTCTAGTTGGTTGAGGCAATCCATCCCAGGGAAGATAGGTGTCCGACCCAAAATCTCAGCAAAGATGCATCCCACAGACCACACATCAATGGAAGTCCCATAGCTGCCACAGGATAGGAGAAGCTCTGGTGCACGATACCAGCGAGTAACAACGTACTCAGTCATGACTTGGTCCTGGCCTTTGCTCGTTCGTGCTAACCCGAAATCACAAATCTTCAGATCACAATTAGCATTGACGAGGAGGTTCCCGGGCTTCAAATCTCGGTGAAGAATGTTGGTTGAATGAAGATACTGCAAGCCGGAAAGGCTCTGTAATACAGAATAACATTAGAATCAGAATTTAGAGCTGTAATACATCAAATTCATGTATAAAAATTTCATGACATCAAATCCTTACACCATATCTCACACGTCCTCTCTTTTCCTTACAAGCACACGTTATAACGAAAAATTAAAACATTTTCGAACAAAACAGAGAAATCGAATACAGAATCCATACCTGATACATCAAACACTTGCAATGATTATTTGAAAGGGGCTGAGAAGATCTGATAATCTGATCAAGATCAGTGTTCATGAGCTCGTAAACCAAATACACATCCTTAAAACTATTTCTATGCGCAGGCATCATCACATCCTTCAAAGCAATCACGTTCTCATGTCTTATGTGCCTCAAAAGCTTCATCTCCCTGAGTGTTCTCAATGCCTCGAAGCGATTGTCAAACACATTTTTAATCTTCTTGATAGCCACTTTCTCGTTGGTCTGTTGGTTGGTAGAAGAACACACCACACCGTAAGATCCTCGCCCAATGGGCTTGATTGGTACATACTTAGTATCGATTTCAAACAGAGTTTGCCACATTGAGTAATAATGTTTCCCAACTGACTTAAATCCTTTTGGTGGTTGGACTGGTGTTGCCATGTTCCTTCAAATTTAACAACTATTTTATTAACCACAAATACAAAAAAATCATTCAAAAACAGAAAAAGACTTTTAGAATTTGATCTTACTTGGTGAAACTGTTTTGATTGAGAAAGAAAAAGGTGTGAGAATGATTTGTTCCGAAATGTGAAGGTTCTCTCGGTTTTTGATGTAGCAATGAGATGAGGTAAAGTGAGGGAGAAGGGGGAAATTGTTTAAGGGAAGAAAGGGTAGCAAACACAGCACAAGAGAAAGAGGAATGAAAGCTCAGTATTGGAAGAACTTGGTGGGAGAAGAGAGGCATAGGTATCAATATATATAAGTTTGTGAACAATCCAATCGGCATAAGGAATAGGAGATTTTAAATTTCCAATTAGGAAAGGGAGATATAAAGTAATATAAATACTTCCAAATTTTATATTTTATCTTTTTAACTTAAAAAAAATTCAAAAATACACCTATCTTATTATTATTATTATTAGTATTAGTATGGTATCATTTTTAAAACGCTAGCACATTTTATTTTTAAAACAAGTTTAATTTTTTCTTTTTACCATCAATGATGTGAACTAAAACTTTTTAACCTTATATCCAAATTTTTTTAAGAAGAAAAAATGTTTGAATTTTTGTTCTCTCTTCGTTTAACAATAACGTTGTTACTACATACATGACATGACAAATGCATGCGCAAAATAATCATTTAAAATATTTCATTTAAACGAAGCATGGACTCAAACGTTCATAATAGAATCTTTAAAACAATAATGCAAAAATTAAATCAGGTAAAGTTTAGATAAAATAAAGAAAAATAAAAATATTACTTTGAATCAATCTAAGGGTTACTAAATAAACATAAAGTGTTATTAACCTACCACTGGTTCAATGGCCTTCATCACGACGTCACCATCCGTACTTTGGTACCTTACCTCTACTTAAAAAAATAAGAGTAGTATGTTGTTTTAGTATTTTAAGAAATACTTAGTAAATAATCGCACGTTTGATATTCAGAAACAAAAACACACGTGACATTCTGGGACCTATATTTAAAAAACAACATGACAAACTTATAGGCATGATCTATAGAGGTTTACGCATCATAGATTATCATTATGATAACGTAGTATTACATCATAAATAGTCACACTATAGTATAGCTTATAAACATTGAATAACACAATATTGGATAACATAGAAATCATAATTATGACATGTGCAAGGTTAACGAGAATGCATCATAATACGTAATACAATTCATCCAACCAAGTAAATAGTAAAGCCACTTACTTTAGTAGGTTAAAAAAGGGTTGTTAGTTTATCTTTGGAGCTACTCCAAGTGCTTCAATTCAAAGCAAGAAATCTATGTGAATTTACAACACTAGATTGAAACACATTAAACGAATTTATTTACATAACGTTCACGATTAAACTTCTAATTAACTTATTATACTTTAATATGGCCAAACAATGCTAATACTCATCTTAAAGGCTATTAAAAGTGCAAAACCGGACTCTAGAAGGGTAAAAAATGGTATGAAAGGGTGAAAAGTACAGGAACAAATTGAAAATTTGTAAACCAAGCCGTTCATGCCGTTAGAGCCGCTACTGTGCCGAGCTGAGCCAATAAGTCATTGCTCGAAAGGGACACGGGTTGGGCTAGATGTGCGGGAAAGGACATGTATCATAAGGTCATGATATGAACACATCTCGTGGTCTAGGTCGGACTAGTATTAGGTAAAGCACGTGGGTTGTGAGGCTGCTAGGATAAGGGACGAGTGTTTTGGTCCGAGTGCCTACTACACCAAAGGCGCACTCAATGGCTAGATGCATGTTGGGTCTGCAGTGAGTTGCTAGATTGACACACAATGAACTTGGCTGGGGTACTACGTTCGCATGGGTGAACTAGGGTTTGTCTTTGGTTATTGCACCAATGAGCCACGACTACTTGATGTTTATGTAACACCCAAAAATGAAGGAAATTAGCTCCAATGAGAATAAGCCACCTATGTAAGTCCCAAAGGATCCTAGGAATGAAATCAAGAGGATTAACCTAAGGACAAGAGTCTTAAACAATGATTTCTGTACCCTAAAAAGTAATTATAATGATTAAGGCTTTCACGAAGTATTGGGAATGAAAAAGTAAGCCAAAATCAAGAAAATGTAGTTTTTCTAATTATTAACCATATTTCCATATTTTTAATTCCTTATCTAGAAGGAATTTTAAGATGATCAAAAACTACAAAAATGACCAACATGAAGAATTTTTAGAAAAATTATAGATTTTTAAGAAAAAATAATAATAAAGTATCCAAAGTGGCACAAAATACCTTGGAAATTATGGAGACGTCATTCTAAATCTGAACCTCTTGAGTGACCTCTTGCAAAAAAAAAAAAAAAAAAAACCNTTCTCATGTCTTATGTGCCTCAAAAGCTTCATCTCCCTGAGTGTTCTCAATGCCTCGAAGCGATTGTCAAACACATTTTTAATCTTCTTGATAGCCACTTTCTCGTTGGTCTGTTGGTTGGTAGAAGAACACACCACACCGTAAGATCCTCGCCCAATGGGCTTGATTGGTACATACTTAGTATCGATTTCAAACAGAGTTTGCCACATTGAGTAATAATGTTTCCCAACTGACTTAAATCCTTTTGGTGGTTGGACTGGTGTTGCCATGTTCCTTCAAATTTAACAACTATTTTATTAACCACAAATACAAAAAAATCATTCAAAAACAGAAAAAGACTTTTAGAATTTGATCTTACTTGGTGAAACTGTTTTGATTGAGAAAGAAAAAGGTGTGAGAATGATTTGTTCCGAAATGTGAAGGTTCTCTCGGTTTTTGATGTAGCAATGAGATGAGGTAAAGTGAGGGAGAAGGGGGAAATTGTTTAAGGGAAGAAAGGGTAGCAAACACAGCACAAGAGAAAGAGGAATGAAAGCTCAGTATTGGAAGAACTTGGTGGGAGAAGAGAGGCATAGGTATCAATATATATAAGTTTGTGAACAATCCAATCGGCATAAGGAATAGGAGATTTTAAATTTCCAATTAGGAAAGGGAGATATAAAGTAATATAAATACTTCCAAATTTTATATTTTATCTTTTTAACTTAAAAAAAATTCAAAAATACACCTATCTTATTATTATTATTATTAGTATTAGTATGGTATCATTTTTAAAACGCTAGCACATTTTATTTTTAAAACAAGTTTAATTTTTTCTTTTTACCATCAATGATGTGAACTAAAACTTTTTAACCTTATATCCAAATTTTTTTAAGAAGAAAAAATGTTTGAATTTTTGTTCTCTCTTCGTTTAACAATAACGTTGTTACTACATACATGACATGACAAATGCATGCGCAAAATAATCATTTAAAATATTTCATTTAAACGAAGCATGGACTCAAACGTTCATAATAGAATCTTTAAAACAATAATGCAAAAATTAAATCAGGTAAAGTTTAGATAAAATAAAGAAAAATAAAAATATTACTTTGAATCAATCTAAGGGTTACTAAATAAACATAAAGTGTTATTAACCTACCACTGGTTCAATGGCCTTCATCACGACGTCACCATCCGTACTTTGGTACCTTACCTCTACTTAAAAAAATAAGAGTAGTATGTTGTTTTAGTATTTTAAGAAATACTTAGTAAATAATCGCACGTTTGATATTCAGAAACAAAAACACACGTGACATTCTGGGACCTATATTTAAAAAACAACATGACAAACTTATAGGCATGATCTATAGAGGTTTACGCATCATAGATTATCATTATGATAACGTAGTATTACATCATAAATAGTCACACTATAGTATAGCTTATAAACATTGAATAACACAATATTGGATAACATAGAAATCATAATTATGACATGTGCAAGGTTAACGAGAATGCATCATAATACGTAATACAATTCATCCAACCAAGTAAATAGTAAAGCCACTTACTTTAGTAGGTTAAAAAAGGGTTGTTAGTTTATCTTTGGAGCTACTCCAAGTGCTTCAATTCAAAGCAAGAAATCTATGTGAATTTACAACACTAGATTGAAACACATTAAACGAATTTATTTACATAACGTTCACGATTAAACTTCTAATTAACTTATTATACTTTAATATGGCCAAACAATGCTAATACTCATCTTAAAGGCTATTAAAAGTGCAAAACCGGACTCTAGAAGGGTAAAAAATGGTATGAAAGGGTGAAAAGTACAGGAACAAATTGAAAATTTGTAAACCAAGCCGTTCATGCCGTTAGAGCCGCTACTGTGCCGAGCTGAGCCAATAAGTCATTGCTCGAAAGGGACACGGGTTGGGCTAGATGTGCGGGAAAGGACATGTATCATAAGGTCATGATATGAACACATCTCGTGGTCTAGGTCGGACTAGTATTAGGTAAAGCACGTGGGTTGTGAGGCTGCTAGGATAAGGGACGAGTGTTTTGGTCCGAGTGCCTACTACACCAAAGGCGCACTCAATGGCTAGATGCATGTTGGGTCTGCAGTGAGTTGCTAGATTGACACACAATGAACTTGGCTGGGGTACTACGTTCGCATGGGTGAACTAGGGTTTGTCTTTGGTTATTGCACCAATGAGCCACGACTACTTGATGTTTATGTAACACCCAAAAATGAAGGAAATTAGCTCCAATGAGAATAAGCCACCTATGTAAGTCCCAAAGGATCCTAGGAATGAAATCAAGAGGATTAACCTAAGGACAAGAGTCTTAAACAATGATTTCTGTACCCTAAAAAGTAATTATAATGATTAAGGCTTTCACGAAGTATTGGGAATGAAAAAGTAAGCCAAAATCAAGAAAATGTAGTTTTTCTAATTATTAACCATATTTCCATATTTTTAATTCCTTATCTAGAAGGAATTTTAAGATGATCAAAAACTACAAAAATGACCAACATGAAGAATTTTTAGAAAAATTATAGATTTTTAAGAAAAAATAATAATAAAGTATCCAAAGTGGCACAAAATACCTTGGAAATTATGGAGACGTCATTCTAAATCTGAACCTCTTGAGTGACCTCTTGCAAAAAAAAAAAAAAAAAAAAACCTCTTAGAATCTCAAAATTCAGCCGTTGAATCTCCTCCAAAATTGGACACCATTTAGAACGTTCAAAGATCATCGAATCCAACCGTCAGAATTAATACTGGAAGTCGATAGCTCATTGATCAGAGAGAATATTTTCGATGAATTATCCCGAAAATTTAATCTCCAAATCTAGACGATTTTGGAATAAGAATCGAGAAAGGTCGAGCTCTCAATCGTAAGTTATAAGTGTTTAGATTTTGGGTCTTCTATTCTCGTATTTCTTCCGAATTGGAGAACAATTCTCCATCATTTCCCTTCGAATTTGTTCCTACATTTTCTAAACAAGATTATCCAAAAGTTCTATAAGGATTAGAGGACTCAAAGTGGCTAAAAACCATTCCTCCATTCCAATCGGCCAATCGGCCAATCGGCCAGTGAAGAGTTTCAAGGAAAATTTAAAAATTCAATCTGAGGATACCTGATAATTCATCAAGCAAGGACGATCCCAATCAGTTTCTGAAACCTCCAATGAATGTTTCCCTAGAAGACCACAAAGAGAAATAACCTCAGGAACGAGTCCAATGGAAGAAAATCAGTTTCAGGCTTAAATTGGGGGTAAGTGTCGAATTCCTATCTAATGTTCCTTTATCTTAAAATTGAGGATTCATTTAGTTTACGAGGAAGAAGTTGAGTAACTTTGGTGAAGAAATTGAAAGGTGAAACGTTGAGAACAAGCTACCCAAGAGATCGATTTTTTGGTGTTTTGGGTAACTTGCAGACCGAGGACGATTCTTCAAAATTAAGGACACACCCTCAATGTCATTCCTAAAAAACAATTCCTTTAGCTTGAGGGAAGGATAAGGTATAGGTTTCATGAAGAAATCGAGCCTTGAAAACCCTTAGAATCGGCCACCCAATAAGAAAACCCTTGTTTTATCTCTAGCGAGAAACAAGTTTTTGGACGAACTATGGAAGAGAATACCTTAGGCTACGATCCACGAAAAGGTATGAAATCAATCCCGAGCTCTTCCTTACAACACCATATTTAAGTTTCATGAAGAAATTGAGGGGAGAAACAATGTGAATGGTGCTATGAAGCTCGAGTTTCAAACGACGGTGCAAAGGATGCACGTGTCTTCTTCTTTAACAGAGGAAGAAGACGATGACGTGACCAGTTAGTTGAACCGGACCTGTCACCCAAAAAATTCAACCTACCTGTGATATATTTTTTTTTTAATTTTAACCTGCTTCTAGACTAGTTCTTACAGACATTCTATGGAAGGAAATTTGAAGTAATTCGGATGCTGGGAGTTGAAGAATGGAAGTCTGAAACGTCGACGACGAGATAAGTAGCCACCTTGGACTTTTATTAAGAAATACTTGTAGTAATCGCTTTGATTTCCATATGAACCCTAAACAAATAATGAATTAACGATATATGAAAGAAAAACCCAAAGAATTGTGAGTTAAGGCCCTAAACCGATCAAATTATTTGGCTTTAAGTAACATTAAAATAACAAAACCAAGAAATAGGGGTAAATAACTGAAATACCCCTAGGACTACTTATGATAATTCAAGGTCTATGAGTGCTCCAAATGATTTGCTACTCCTTATAAGGTCTATTTCTAATAACAAGAAGGTATGTTTGAGAGTTCAGGTTGATTAGAGCAAGCTTGGAACTTAAACCAAGTTGGAATCCAATAAGTGCCTAAAGGAAACACCTCAAGACTCAAGACCCTTTTGGAATGCCTCTAAGGAGTTCATTACCAATCTATGACAATCTAAACAACTCATGCTTGTTATTATGATGGGTTCATATGTTTATGAATGCATGTTACAACTTACGCCTAAAGGAATTATGAACCTTATAAACTTACCAGATTGGGAACTACAAACAATACAAAACAAGCTCTACAAGTACCAAGGTTGGAAGCATGCAAGGTAGCACGCAAGTATAAGGGACAAAGGTCCTCACTTAGAAAGAATGTTAGATACCACTCAAGGATAAGGGACCAAGGTCCTAAAACATAAAAACTCAATAAAACTCCTAAGATCTCCCACCGTACAACATATTCCTGACTTAGACTACGCTGCTTGGAATGTATGAAGGCTTGAACTTAGGTATTCAGACTATGCCGCTTAAAATGTCTGAAGCATTGGGCATAAGTATTCAGGGTGTACCATAGAGCAAGCCCTAGGTGCAGTATTTTAAACTACGCTGCGTGGCGCATTAAGCCTTGATCGTAGGTATTCAGACTATGCCGCTTGGAATGCATGAAACCTTGGGCATATGTATAAAAAGTGTATAATAGCACAAGCTCTAGATGTAGGATTATACGACATCGCATGGAACGTAAGAAGCCTTTGATGTAGATTTTCAGACAATGCTGCTTGGAACACATGAAGTCTTGAGCATAGGTTTAGACTACGTCGTTTGGAATGCAGTACTAAGAACAAGAGAAAGATCAAGAACTAGAACATGGATCAAGGACCAAGTTTTAAGGACAAGAACTAAGGTTCACCGGATAGATCATGATAAGAACCCCAAGTCAAGAACAAGAACTAGAGGGCCAAAGTACTTACCACAAGAACGAGAACAAGAAAATAAAGAATGTGGTACCCTACCATATCAAGGACACGATTAAGAGCCTCCAAGTAGACTACGTACTGAATCTTGTACTCATTCCTTATTCTCCATTTTTTCAAGTAATAAGAAGCTGGTTGAGGTCGGGAGCAAACTCTAGAGCAATTGCCATAGACAAGCCTCACCCGTCGTCCTCAACCTTTGTTTTAAAATGTTTTGTGTCTGTTCATTATTTTGTGTTTTAACTATTTGTCTAGTTTTTCCTCCCCCTAAGTATTTTAGACGTTTGGGTATACTTATTACTTAGGGATATTCCGACTAATTAAATATAACTTAAGTCTAGGTGATTTTTCTAAAACTTATATCACTTTAAGCATGCTCGTAAAACTGGGGTAACTAAGCTCAAGTACTGGTCCGATCTCCAGGTAGTAGGTGTTCCGTAAACCGTTACTTAAGTACCTCCAGCCTTAGACAAGATCGTGCAAAGTGAGCTTTCTCGTAACCGCAATTTTGTAAGACATCGACCTATTTTAACTATTAAAATTAATCGTACTCGATTCTTAACCCTAAGTGAGTATGCACTTATCTTTATTTTAGATTTTAACGTCTATCTCGTTTTATGACGTTGAAAATAACCTATAACATGCATCTAACATGCTTTATATAATAATTATATAATAATCCATTTCATGCAATAATATAACAATTTATATCAATCACTCATGGAACCCTAAACATGCATGCTATACATTATAACACTTATAACATACTTGGAATGCATGAAACATGCATAGCCTATGGTGGGATTTTAAATCTATATGACATACTTTATGCATATACATTTACTATTTAATCAAAACATACATTCATAATGCATAATTAATTAAACACACTAAAGTGAATTTGTTTTGGCATTTTAAAACAAGCAATTAACTAAAGTATTACATTAATAATTATGAATAACTTGAACCGCTCCCGAGGATCACGAACTGGGTGAACCAACCCTTAAAAACGTTGAATCGAACCCCAAAGGCAGAAAAAACCACCCGAACGGCCTCTTCCATCTTCTTCTTCGGCTCAGCTTGCTATCTCTTCCATTTTCGATCAATTACAACCTAAAATGGACTCTAATGACTCCATAAAAATTACAGACCTTTCTTCATTCATTAAAACCTATACACATTAGGCTTATTACAATAATTGTATCAAATGGAAGCATAAAAAAATGCCAAAACCAAAACAATCCACTTTAGCAACCACAAAATTTCATTCATGAAATGGTACCCACCATGATCAAATTAATGTAAATAAAGCGCCGAATACTTGCTCTGATACCAATTGAAGGTGTTAATATAACACATGCGGAAGCAATTTGAATCTTAGGCACTTTAAGAACATCAATTATTGTAAATAACTAGCATGTTCATAAGTATTAAAACTTAATGAGTTTGAATACTAACCTTTTGTAGTTCAAATTCCTTTTTCCTCAAGAACCGGTTTCGAACCACCACTAGTGTTTTCTCCACTATCCTCCGGCCTTAGAACGGGATTGTGAAATCCGGTAAGTGACTAAACTTGGGAGGGATTTTGTATATATGAAGAGAGATTTTGTATATATGAAGAGAGTGTTTGTGAGAGATTTTTCTCAAGGTTTTTCACCAACAAGAAGACCTTTCATGTATTATGATCACTCTATTTATAGAGTCATGTTTGCATGTTCATGCAAATTTGAGATCACCAAATTTTGACACTCAAAATTCTACTCAAATGTTTGGGATTATGTGTCAAGCATGCATGCTTGAGTTAACCAAATTTTGACACTCAAAATTCCACTAACATGGATTTTTCCATTAAATGAAGTTAACATGTTGACTTTCTTCTTTTTGATTCAACAATCCATTTGAATTATTAAATTCAAATTAAAGTAATATTAAATGATTAATTAAACTATTTAATTAATATTTAATATTAATTTAAATGACAATCCCAATTAATTCCGACACATATTTGATTAAGATATTAAATCTTATTCAAATATCTCAGATTCTCTCTTTCTGTTTAATTCGTAAATAAAACAAAAATGCGGTTAAATATATCGTATATATGTAGCACATTCTCCTTAATTTGAATTCAAACACTTCGAACTCACTCGTCACATTGTTCTATGATTTAGTTCGATATGAGCTAGCAGAGGGACCTGATGGATCTATAGATCATGGGCTCCAACGATCCAAGATTAACCGGTTAAACTCATTCACCTTGTTAACCAGCATTCGTTAACTGCTAGGACATTCCACTATAGCCTAGTAGTTGCACTCCCCTCACTATAGATATATTTCTGTCCATTTGATATAACCATGATTAGTAAGTCGATCCTTCACAGGTTGTTCGTAACTAGAGCTGGGTCAATTTACCGTTTTACCCCTGAAGTTACTTCTTGTTTTTTATGTCTCACTGATCTTCTAATGAACAATTGGTTTGTGGTCCAACTAGTAAACCGGATCTCTCTCAGGCCAATGAGTGGGTGGGGTTCCTTGTTCAAGACCTGGAGTTAGTACTTAAGGGAACTACCTCTCTTCTATCCCTAAAAGTGGGTAGGAGTGAATTCCATCTTGCACCCCACGTCCCCAGCCATTTACCCAATCTTACCCCTGAAATGGGAGGCCTATTGAGTCGGCGAACTTGAGCCACTCTCACCCATGAAAATCTAAGTATAATTTTGAATAAACAGGAGTTCATGGTTAGCTCAGAATTAAGAAATACTTGTGGGAATACTTGTAGGAATCGCTTTGATTTCCATATGAACCCTAAACAAATAATGAATTAACGATATATGAAAGAAAAACCCAAAGAATTGTGAGTTAAGGCCCTGAATCGATCAAATTATTCGAGTTTAAGAAACATTAAAATAACAAAACCAAGAAATAGGGGTAAATAACTGAAATACCCCTAGGACTACTTATGATAATTCAAGGTCTATGCGTGCTCCAAATGACTTGCTA